GCAAACGTAACGGTCACGATTTTTCTGTTCCTTTTTGTTTTTTCTATTCTGTTTTGATTTCTTTTGAACTGCAAATACAAATATTTAATTCATTTCAAATAACTATACAGCAAAAACAATTTGCCCACAAATTCCAGGTAAATTCCTTCCGTTAACACATTGAGTACACTACGAACGAATATGAATGACAAAAAAACAACGTAACAAAGCGAAAGTTGTTCAAAACGTAAATTTGCAAACAAAAAAAAGTTCAAGTATCAACGACACAGGCCGGCGAAGACTGTGCTGCTGTTCAGACAGCAACGGCAACGAAGGCGGCACAAATCTATGCACAACCCGCGAAATGTAAACTCAAAACACACAAAACGCTATATTGCACAAAATAAAGAATCGGCAAAAACACCCACGAAACACAATACGAACGAGGGAAATGTAATCGAGTAATAAAAAAAAACCAAAAGCTAAACTGAACTAAACGAAACGAAGCGGAAGAAGGAAGAAACGGCAAGAAAATGCAAAATTTTTAAGTTGTCTTGTGATTTTTGATGTAAACTGTTTTTCCCCAAAAAAAGGAAAATGAAAAATTTTCATATTTGATATTTAAAACGAAACAAACATGTTAGCAGAAATTTTTGAAGCGAAACTCAGCTCCGTTTAGTCGCTTCGGTTATTACAGCCAATACTCGTAAAACTTATTAATGCCCGCGCCCCATTTCCTCCTTCTTCTTCTTGAACTAAATGCTCCACAAGCACTCCTTTCACATAGCCACACAGAAAATTTTAAATTCGAGCAATGTTTTGCCAATTTGGCATACATTATGAAAGCACAACAATTCCCGGATAAGTTTTCTTACTTTTGTATTGATTTTACAAATAAATTTGTAAAATTTAAGGTATTTTATGCTTTTTTCACATAACACGAAAAATCACATCAACGCGCACGCAACGAAGCGACGTGGAATGGAAGAAAAACCAAAGTGTAATGCAAAAATAACAGTGAATCCCAATGACTAGTGTTGCCAGAACAAAAGCACCTCACGGGGTAAAAAAGAGTTCGAAGCTATCGATATTAGCTCATACGGGCGTACAAAGAGTTATATGGTTGTATATCTGTTCATTAAATTATTCTTATTTTCAATTAAGTGCATTGCATATTTTTTCCACTTAATATGCGTTACTGCGAACTATTTAAGGAACATCAATTTTTATATAACTTCTATATGAAGATTTTTAAGTTATGATTACACACAGCTCTTATCAGTGAATTTTCCTAAGTGAAATAGCAACCCTGCTGTGAAGTGTAGCTAAAGTTCCACTACAGTTTTTCGCTATTTTATGTGGAAGAAAATGCATTTGAAACGAAATTTGCGGTTGGTGACTTCACTATATGGTCTACAGATGGCGCAGTCACATCGAAGCAGAGAATGTTAATAAATAGAGAAGGCGCAAATGTTAAAAAGTACTAATTTGAGATTTTCGCCAGAGGGAACATCGAAAAATACAACTTCGACTATTTTGAAATACACCCCGCAATGATCGAAACGGAGTAAAAGTTTTTAGGCAAAAGATAAAAATAAAACAGTGGCTAAGCGGCCGCGTTTTCAATTTTATGGTAGCTTAGGTCGTAAGCATGAAGGAGTTAAGGTTATTCCGAATACGAGCATTTACGTTCGAATCCTGAATCTCACAAGTCTTAAATTTTATTTAATTTTTTTAATTTAATTAATTGGAATCTAAGCATTACTTAAATAGATAATTAGAATTCATGTCTGAGCTATATTATAAACCGTTCTCTTCTCTGGACTCAGTCAGTATGTATGTATGTATTTTCATATGTCTGGTTCTTGAGCATATCGTTATCGGACACTTTTTCTAGTAAGATAACAGTCCACACTTAAAAAAAAAACAGTTTATCAAAGGGAACAGCTTCCATTTACTCGCCGTTTTTCAAATATAGTCAACTAACCGTCAAGAATCTGGTTTTACTAGCTATCGCAAGTTTGTAGAATGAATAAAAACGCACAGACCACACGAACTAGTAAAAATCGAAAGCTGAAGAGTTTGAACTAAAAGATTTGGGTGGAGGATTTATCGATATTCCAGAAAATTTGGTGATCAGAATCTCAAGCAAAAAAATATGATCAATAGACTGAAAACAAGCTTTATAGAATATGAAGCTGCCATTAATTGAACGCTAAGAAGAAGACGCTGAATAGGGCAAATTTAAGGGGATTAAATGTGATTGGCATTTCAGGTATGATTTCAGTTAGTCGCTCTCTTACTAAACTGAATAGCTATTTTAATGGATATAGAAAACAAAAAGAGCAAAGTGAGGTTAAAATTGTTCAGGAAATGTTACCATTTGTAAGAGGTTAGAATAATGATAGACGGATCAAATATTGGATTTCATACACACATATTTTTCATATGTTTTGTCTTATTATTATTATTATTTTGTGGAACGGTTCAGTTTCCGCCTCTAAAAACGAAGAACTAATAGATAAAGATATAAACAGCGTTATTTTAAATAAATACTTGATCAAAACATTTTTAGATTATACTGAGCAGGGTGTAACACATACATATTTACGTATAATAAATAATGTATAATATATAAGAGAAAAAAAACTGTTTTGTTTTGCCTGAGGGTCAAATTTGTAGATTATAAAAAAAAAATTTTTAACATCTAGAGGCGGCCTTAAGCGTTATAATAAATTTTGAGTTAAAACCCGTCAAATTCGGTAATTTTTATATAAATGTGAAGAGTTTAAACCAAAAATTTTTATAATCTACAAGTTTTATCCACAGGCTAAGCAAAAGCTTTTTGTTCTTACTCCATTTTAGTGCACATGCATTTGTTTTTTCGAAACAGTCCGCATCGGTCTTATAGCTTACATGCACCATGTGTACTCGGTGCTCGCCTTTCATTCACAGTAATATTTATGAAAATGAAATGTGAAAGATTCCAAACACTAACACCAAGGTCTTGTGGGTAGACATACTTATCTTTAACGCATATTAATTCAGAGAAAGTATCTGATTTTAACGTTTCTTACGCTTCCTCAAGTTTTTGTAGTTCAAATCATTTAGTTCAGCCCACTTCATATTAAACTTGTAAGCACCAACTTCGCAACATATTTCCTCTATAGGCGCTTTTGTGAGCTTCTCTCTATGTATATCCTTATATAAATAGATTACGAAATGTGTGACCCCGCCCTCTTAAATAATGGTAAGATTAAGCTGTAATGGTTCATCTTTTTGGAATCTTCGACTGGATTTAAATATCTTAAGGCTATCAGCAAAATAATGTATTTCATCAACAACCAATCAATTTTTGTTCTTAAAATCACTTTCCGTTTTCCTGGCGCTGAAATGTAGACTACATTTTGTACACAGCAAATGAATTACCATAAAATCCATGAATATGTCAGAATATTGTTATAAATTCTTTGGGTAATTGAAATGTAAAAATAGAGTTGCCAGAGTTTTTTCGTTAACAATAATGAAATTTTGGAAAATATATTTAGTAACTTTAATTTTTACTTTGGTTTGAAAACTCATAAAAATCACTTTAGTTCGCTTCGTTTAATGCTATAATTTTTGATTATAGCCCTAAGGTAAATTTTTACTGGCTCTCTGTATATGATATATTCGAATATAGAATTCGATGAAAAATAAACTTTTCGTCGATTTTATAAACATATTAAGAATAATAATAATTGGTTTAAAGAAAATCGAATCGTTTTTATTCACATTTTAATTCATTTGCTTGAGTTTCAAAAAATGCTTTTGTGCTTTCTACACTAACATTTCAAAATTATTTCTGTTACTTTTGCTCAATAGATATTTAATAAAAATTAACTATAAATTGAAACTAAATAATTTATACATAAATTTTAAAATATTATTATTATATTTTGATCTAGAAAAAAGTTGTTATACGCTTTTGCAAGTCAGAAAAAACGTTTACTTTCGTGAATTTTGATTTGAAGAGGCATTTAATTTATTATATCATAAATAAAAAAATATATATATACGAGTAAATTTACAGAATTTAATATACTTTATTAATCGGTGATTAATTTTGAAAAATCTTGTTTTCTCATGGTCCCGTAGACGTTCTCCAAGAGGACTTCTGAAGAAAGTTGTATGGTGGCGAGGAAAATTTTTCTACTTAAAATTATCTCAAATCCAAAACCCAAAAAAAATTTGTTATTACTATAGATGAATACAGGTAATGATCGTGGGATCATTTTTGGATCAAAAATTTTATTTATGTAAAAACGGCGCCAACCCGAAAAAGGACGTTTACACTCCAGAGTGGCTTAAACAAATATTATTATCAAAAATCTTGTTCCTTCGATCATTACCTGAAATATATTATTTAGAAGTTGGTGTAAAAATTTGCATCGGCCTGTGCAGCCGTTTCGAAAAAATTTTCCTCACCGACTCTGAAAGCAGCGTTTCAAGAAAAACCGATTATAATTTTCGGAAAACATTTTCAAATATATGCACATTCGATATATTCGATATACATATAAGCAAAAAAATAAAATAAATAATTTTTTGAAATTCATAAGCTCATTAGATTAAACTCATAGGTATGCTATATTTATTCTCAAAGCAACGCTATAATTGTGAAAAAATTTTTACGAAAGGACCACATTATCGTATACATAGCTGCCATACAAACAATCACATTTTTTCATATAAACACTAAAATTATATTATTACTCAACAAGTTTTAAAATAATATATTTTTTTTGTCATATTCAAAAAAATGACGACTTTCAGAACATCCAAGACCACATTTCTTTAAATAAACCAATTTTTTAAAAATAAACACGCTAATATGTGAAATTAGTTTTATTTTGAACGATTTCCAAAAGTTTCTTCTAGCATCTGCTGCTTTGAGACCGCTTTTCAAGGGACGTTTGTCTGTTCATACATTCAATTAGTTGCACTTTACTTAAATTGTTCCAAAAAATACGCTAAACAAATACTTTGCTGATATTTTTGGTTGTTGTTTTTTTATATTTTTAATTTTTTATTTTCTGTTTTTACTTTTCTCAACGCTCAGAAGTTCAAAGTAAACAAAGAAATTTTGAAATTTCACAGTTCTATTTTATCACTATTCTCTGCTTTCCTTTCGTCTTTTGTTGAAGATTCGCCTAAAATGAAAACTTATTATAATAAATATATTCAACAAAAAGGTAATATAATCATTTTGTGTATGCTAAGCTATGCAAAATAACCAACAGCGAGTCCTTTGTGGACGCGACACTGCGCCGCCCAGCAGCTGTGCGCACGTCCTGTCACCACAACGAGCAATTTGCGAATGTGTTTAGCCGGCGAGCGCTTTCCGCCATGGAATCTAGTGCTGGGGGAAAGTACGCCCACTTCAATGGCGCTTATGTGCTTGCTCAATACATACATAAGTATATATACACACACACCTATAAACGCATTTCTGCATACACCTGCGCAGAGCAGCACTTCCATGTATGTACATATATGTATGAGAGTGTGTTTGTTTGTGTATGTGTGCGTGCTCACTCTTTTCCATCACATTTACCACAGCCCCGGTATTGGCGTCCATTGCCACTCTGTGACATGCGCTCAATGCCGCACAAATTTCTGCTGCCGCCTTTCCCAACTTACGCTCGCTTTATGGCTGCACTGCTCACTGCGGTTGGCTGTTCCGGCGGAGCTAAACACGATAATGCGTGTATGTGTGTTACTGCATGCTGACTTGCGGTGGGCACCCTGTATACCGTGAAAGCTTTTTACGCGCCTTCTGCAGCCTTCGATTCATAGACGTAGTAAAATCTTGCCGAATAATGCCGGATGCATTGAAATGTGGACGCAAAGGCATTGAAAAAGAAAAATTTTGCAATCTTTGTGCGCTTTCTGCATGTGACTGTGTGTAGGATTGTGCTGCGTTTTTGTCAGTATGGTGAACTTCCAAGAATCTAATTTCCCGTCAGCTTGAAGGCTCTTCGTTTACTTCCCCGTTTAGTGAATGGAAGTTTCTTATGAGTCGCTATATGTAGTTCTTTATTAGTGTTTAAGATGTTGAAGTTTTTTTTATAATGACAATATGAAATAAAGCCGGTATATAGATATTGGTTCCTGTAGAGCATTAACATAAATTTGTGTATCCATTAAGCACTAGAAAGTCTGATGGCAGTACAATATATAATAATTTTGCTTTGAAGTTCAGCTTAACAGTCCTAAACATCTAACGAAGGGAGCCTACCGAGGGCTGTAGCTCAGGCTTAGAAAGTTGCAGTCTCATTTTCTTCAGAAGTTCTTTAGACCAAGTCAACAGACTTGCTAAGCGTGGCTTTTTCGATTGCACAGCGCCGGGTAAGCTTATAAGTATACGATAACTTATTACCAAATTTCTCATCTACTTTATTACAATTAGTGGGAAAGATTCCGTTTATCTACATAAGGATTATGATATATAAAATATTACAGACTTTTTCGCTTAGTTCTCGATCCAAAAGGCACCATTTTATCTATATTAAAGTATACTTTATGGGAGGATGGGCATTGACTAGCACCTAAAATAGGCAAATGATGCTGGTGATGTTCAAAGCCTATCCCTAACCAGCGTCTACCTAATTTTTTTGCGGTACTCTCGTTCATTAAGTACGAGGCTCTGGAACTAGGCCTGCATGCAGAAGGTCAATCATCTTAAACTTCTTGACGCCCCTGCCAGCCTAGAGAGAATACCGTTGCGCCGGAACTAGGTCCGGATGTATACCAAAATCGAAATAAATGGTGAATGAGACTCTATGTTCCACCTAGGTACTATGATATATAATATATGTGGAGTATAGAAATTTACCAACAGACATAAGATAGTCCATTTAGGAGAGATATACTTCTCGATGGAGTATAGTAAATTCTATATGTTTTGATACTCAACTGCTAGTACTCTCTAGCCAGCATACTGTAAGTGATGTGGGAATATGACGGTGTGTGGTGCTTGGTGCTATACTCTCGAGTCGGAGTGATTGCATGACTTGAAAGAAGACGAATTTTAGTTGAACTACTACTCCTGCCTTAAGCTAATACTTAAATACTTAAAAATGTAAATTCAATAAACTTTTTAAGAACATATAAATACGTATTCGTTTGAAACGGGCCATCATCCCCGGCTTATAATGTTCTAATTTAAAAAAAAAATTGGGCATATACGGTGAAAATGTTAAAAAATTTCATTGAATCCATCGATTGGTTAAATGCTGCTTCGTTGGGTCTCACTTGGGAATACATTGGGACGAATGATGGCTAAAGGCGGCTGCTCATTTTTTAACCAAACAACCATAGTCGATATCGTCACTGGTGTACTCTATTTTGGTCAACTGAAAAAAAAATTGGTTCGCGCTGATGGTATGCTGCTAGCAGAGCTCATTTCGATTCACCAAGATCATACATACTTTAAGAAGTTTATGAGGAAAAACCCCTGATAATATTTGCAAAATTCATGTTCGAGGAAAAATTAGTACAAATTGGATGAGAGGATTGAGTCTGAACTGAGGGAGTATATTTTGAATATGAAAACTTGTCGCTTGTAAACTCAATCCACTGAACTGAATCTTCTTTTAGTTAAATTTCATGTATAAAGTTTGGACGAAAAATCGATTCGGAAAAATATGCTGCTACTGAATAGTATGGAAACCTCAATCTCATAGTTAATCTGATCGAGTAAATCAAGAGGTTCAATATGGATCTGTACACCAAGAAGGTTTTAGCTAATTAAAAAGATCGCTACGCATTATGTATCTAATTTAAGAGTTAACTATAAGAAACAGTTAACAGGTTATTTCCTTTGTCTAATTCTAAAGAAGTTATATTATGTTAAGAACTTGTCAAAAATCGATTACTTGCAAACAACAAAATATCAGAGAAACATTTGACCATATATGTTTATGAAATTTTAATACACATTTATACGAAAACATGCAGCTCACCAGCGATTTGCATTCGCTTAATGAAACAAATGTAACTACAACATAAGCACAAAGACCGGCAAAATCTTCAGCAACTTGCTACAGTTGGAACTTTTGGAGTTGCATTGATCTTTTTGCGGCCATGGCGCTATCATTGAAGTTGTGCTTAGCTTTTTGATAGTATTCTGGCTAAAGCTGTGGCTTACACACGTACACACATATTTACATACAGATGTGTATATACAATCTTATAGAGATGCCAACATTATATACCGCAGGCTAATGTACTTAGCGCTTAAAACTCAACGAGCTGCATAAATAACGGAGAACAAAAACAATTTGCAAAGATTTTATTTATAACTGGAATAAAGCGACCGAAACTCATAAGCGAACCACAAAAACGAAGGTGCAAACGAATATGAAATGTACAAAGAGTTAAACCAAACATTTGGAAGGTAACTAGAAAAAAAATACCAAACAAGAAGAGAGCTTAGAAATGAAAATTAATTTAAAATACATAGAAGCAAGGGTGTGCGTGTATTTTTAGTGAGTTCATGTATGCATAAGTAGTTGCACACACATGCACACATACATACATTTGTAAGTATTAGTTGGGGATCCAGGAGGGTCATAATTTTTATGCTCAAGTCGTTTGTATAATCAGAGATATTTAATATACAGTTATATTCGCATATACATACATATGAACAATTCCACACCTGAGTGTATGTGTAGTGCAAATGTATTTATGTATGTATGTATATACATAAATATATCGGGTAATATATAATATGTGCTCCTTCGTTGGCTACTGTCCATTTATGATTTGTTGCTTACGCTATTCTTTATACTCGCGCAACATGTAGCATAGAGTGCAAAAGTTGTGTTCACCTAACGGTTATTTATATATGACCTATAAATATAAGTAATAGTACTTTTCTGTCCCGGCATTTCTATTATTATTGGGTTATACATATGTATGTATCAAAATGATCACAATGACAAGACGCATTGCAAGTGCTTGAAACCCCTCTTACAATCAAAATTAGTAGCTTCCAATCAGGGTTGCAATTAATGCATTAAAAATAATAATTGAATTAATATTTAAATAATTCTACTTTTTTGGAAATCCTCGAAAATCGAATTAAAAATAATTTTCAAATTTCTAATACCAAAAACATGAAAATATTAATCCCAAATACAGGATTGAAAAATATTATACAATAAAAAAATTTGATATTATAATTTATAATTAACAAGGAAAAATTGCATTGAAATGTACATGTTTCTAGGCTTGTCTACTTCATGATCTGTCATTTTGAACTAGAGTTCGCACAGAGCCATCATATTCAAAATTCAATACTCATTCACACGATTTATATATTTTTTAAATTTTTATACCCTGAACAGGCTATATTAAGTTTGACACGAAGTTTGTAACACCCAGATGGAAACGATATACATATTAGGGTGGGGCGAAAATCTGTTTTTTTAGAATTTTTATTATTAATACCGAAAATTTTGTAGAGAATTAAATTTAGGTAAGAAAAAAAATTTCCAAAAACTTTTAACTTTAACTGGATTTGGCAAGCCTAAGATGTCGACCGAAAATTTTTTTCTTGAAAATATTTTTTTTTAACAAAGAAAGAAAAATATTTTCGTTTTTAATTCTAAAAAAACGAATTTCGGCCCACCCTAATACATATGAACATATATATATATCGCTCTGAAATTTTGCACACATCTTTTTTCGCAATTTACACCCACTATAGCTTATAGCTGCCATACAAACTGAATAATCGGAATTAAGTGATTGCATGGTCTCCGAAGAAATTGTTCAGATCGGAACATTTAGCATATATGCATTTGCCATCGGTATCAAGTTCTTTAAGGAATCTCTTGTATTTGTGAAGGGTAACTGAACGTTAAGGTTTTTCTTCTTTCTTGTTCATTTTAATTTTGGTATTAAAAATTAAATTTTCATTTTTTAATTAAAAAAAAAAAACCACAAGCCAAATTCGAATTTATAAAAAATAAGAACAAATGTTTTTTGACACCTTTTTTGAGAAGAAGTAAGAATGATGGACAAAATCGATGAACAGGGTTCAGGAAAGAACTGTTAAGAATAATTTGTGCGTCCTTCAGAGAAGTAAATGTTAGCTAATTATCGATCATCAAAATCTTGTCTTTTGTTATGCTAAAGAAAAAAAAAGCTGCTTGGTATTTTTAGTTGATTTCTAAGAAGAAAAAACATAAATTATTGTAATGAAATTATTGGTGTCTTCACCTTCTTGTGAGTAGCTTCCTCGGGTGAAGTCCAACATTTCGATAGCTCCTTGGTTCTCCGATTTGTACAAGTAGATCCATGTTACGTCTCTTTTTTATTGTTGTGTGTTTGGT